ACCACCACTACCACTACCACTGCCACTACCACACCACCATTACCACAACTACCACTACACCACCACCTTAGTTTCAACAACCACCACCACTGTCCCCACACCACCACCACTACCACACCCGTTGCCCCACCACCACCATCACCATTACCACCATTCCTATCACCCACCACTACCATCATCGCCGCTGTCACCACCCTACCATCACCCCCATCGCCCTACCCCCACCCCTGCTGTCACCCCACCACCACCTCTTCTACAACAACCATCATCGCTGCCACCACCATCACCCCACAACTACCCCACCACCACCATCCCATCACCGTCTCCCACCACCACCACTGCTGCCCACCATTACTACCACCGATCGCCCCGACTACAACCGGTGTTTAAATTCATTTCTCTCTCCTCTATATGTATAGTTTGATTTTAAGTGTAAATACAAATATGTTTATTGTTGACCATTTTTTTATTACTCCGTGCCTTCAGGCACAGAAAATAACTAATATTTCAATATAGTGAAAAAATGACACACACAAGACCTTTATTTTTTATTTCATACTCTAAAGAATGAAACGACATCATTTTGTAAGACTCTTATTTTTAACCTTAAACAATGAAATGATGTTGTTTCAGAGAAGTTAATTTTTTCTTTTTTTGGTTTGACCTTCGACAAATCCCGTGGTTTTCTTCTTTTGTGATCCATCCGCTATTTTCCCCCTTCTTCTTCTTTAAATAAACAAAATCCTAGTTATAATTTGATCTCTATCTCAGATAAATATATCACCGACTAATAAGTGAGTTGACATGATATATTGGATACAATACAATTAAATATTTATGAGCATATATTTAATGTATGTCANATCTCTATGTCATATATGTATATCACCGACTGATAAGTGAGTTGACATGATATATTGAATACCATATATTTAAATATTTATGAGTATATATTTAACGTATGTCACATTACACTATAAATTATTTTTGAAAAACAATACGCGTTGCGATACTTGTTTTGACAACCTTACTTATAAACTTGTCTGTTACAAAAGATAAACCCTCATCGAGCTACCATTTGGGTGATCGATGCCTTATCAACTGACCAATTTTCTTGCTGTGGATTGGATGCATTCTCTCCATCTCCATTGCTTTTAGTAGAAAACGCAGGCCTTTTGGGAGAAGTAATTGCAATTTTTCATTTTTAAGCATCGACGAAACTTCTACCATGGATGGTCTATCCACCGGATTTTCTTGGACACATAACAGGCCAACTACCATGCATCTCATCAACTTACACAATGAAGCTGTGTCATCTAGAGTTGGATCCATAAACTCGATGCCTTTTCCATCGTTCCACAGCTTGTACGCCTGAGAATAATTCAACGTAATCTCAATCTTCATAATCCACATAAAGAAAGAAATGTTTCTAGTTTCAATGGTCATACAAAAGTTTTGCAAATAACTTACATATTCAAGAAGGTTCAAGTTTTCAAGTGGACCATGTAAACATGAATTTTGCTTCCCACTTATGATTTGAAGAAGTAAAACCCCAAAGCTGAAAACATCGGATTTTATAGAGTACATTCCATGTTTTACGTATTCGGGTGGAACATAACCACTGCATTGCATGGATCAACAACAAATAAAACTTTGTTAGTAAGTAATTAACAAATAGATCGGGCACATATTTGATATGGTTTTGAGAGACATTTTACTTACTATATTCCAACTATTCGGCTTGTGTTTGCTTCAAATTTATCTTTTTGAAACGTTCTTGCCATTCCAAAATTTGATATCTTGGCTTTCATCTCGTTGTCCAATAAAATGTTGCTAGGTTTCAGATCTCTATGAATTATTGTTAATCTTGAGTAATCTTGGAGGTATAAGAGCCCTTGAGTAACCCCTTCAATGATGCGAACACGTTTTCCCCAATCTAAAAGTAATCGCTTTATTGGATCTACATCCAAATTTTGGGAACAATAGGCCACTAACTTTTGCAAGTAAAACGAATCAAACTAGACTAACATACACATCTACGCGAAGACAACACAGACATTGTGTGATGTTGCACCTCTAGAAGCTTAAAATGACTAACCTTACATATGATAAACAATAATTCTTTGAAGTAAGAATGGAATATTGAACGTGGAACGAAACTGGAACTCGAGATACCTCTAGCAAGTGTTCAATTATATTGCTCATTATTTTTTTGCAATTATGTTAACATTTGAATAATTATGTATTACTGACCATAGATATAGAAATCCAAGCTTTTGTTGGGCATGTACTCATAGATCAACATCTTTTCTTCTCTTTCAGTGCAAAATCCCAGAACTCTCACAAGATTTATGTGTTGTAGCTTTGCAGTAAGTATGACCTCATTCTTAAACTCTTCAAATCCTTGCGTAGAAGCTTTGGAAAGTCTTTTCACTGCTATTTCATGTCCCTTCAACCTACACTGCAAAGCATACACCACCAATTTGCATTAATTCTTCACTACCTCTTAGCCAGATTCTACACAAGACTCGCGTCTATAAGAGAGTCTGGTAGATGTAAGTGGTAGGCTAATTCTAGACTCTAACCCGCGACATATCATTTGAGTGAAAAACCAAAATGTAAAATACATCAATATTTATCCATGGGTGTACAAAGATAAAATATTTACCTTGTAAACGGGTCCATACCCACCCTCTCCAAGCTTATTTTCGAACGAAAAATCATTTGTTGCTGCTTTAATGTCACCAAAACTAAATACTTGCAAATTAGGGGCATCTGTACTTCCAGCAGTTGCCATAGTAGTTCCCATTTTGGACTGTGAATTCTTCTCTGTACCCACCATTCCACGAGCACAACACACATGACATTAGGGAATATGTTAATCTCTTCATTTCCTACACTTTAGATGTTGAAAGAGCTTTGAATTTTGAATTTTTATGATGAATATCAAAATTTCTCGCATTGCCACCTCACTCCAACAAGGAGATACCAATTGCATTGCACCTTTATATATTTTTATACTTTTGTACATAATTATTTGAAAATTATTCAATTTGACGCTTTGCATGAAAATTTTGTACACATTTCTATTAAAAAAGACCATATGCTCTGTTTTCTTAAATTGATAGTCCAATGCGAGAACTATAATCTTGCTAGGTGTAAATTAAGAATTTGAAAATCTTTCAAGATGCAAAATGTTATTTGTCCATTTAGAAATTTTACCTTTAAATATGCTGATAATCAATTTCTTCCGTAGGTACCACATCCCAGAGCCTAGTAAGAGAAGTACTATTGCAGTTGTTGGAAGCAAAATAATTAGGAGCAATGGCTGCTCCCGCTTGTCTTGATGATATTTCTCCTCTTCTTGAGCTATAAACGTAGTTAAAATTTTAAGGAAAATCAGAGACTAGTGAGAAAAATTCTAACAAAACTAGGCCCAAAAGTGTTTGTGGCATACCAAAGTAAAAGACTCAGAATCCATTTGGTAAAAAACATGAAATTTAAAAAAAAACAAAAAAAAATTATCTGACTATCACAAGCACAAATGAAAAAGTCAATAATCAATACAATTAATTACTCTTTTTAATTGATCAATTACATCAATCAAACACACTCTCTCTCTTATGTCTCTCCTTTAAAAACATCAATTCCCACTCTCTCTCTCTCTCTCACACACACACACACACACACAAAAATAATTTTTGTTTCCAAATAAAAACAAAATAAAAGATTATCTCTCACTTTTGGCTTATGACCGTCTTTTTCATTCACGCAACAATGGCCATCAAATCAGCCCCGGTATATTATTTTATACTCGTACTTTCTTTTTTGCAATGTTATTTAGTACAAAATATAGTTTCAATCAATTTATTCATATTATAATATCCTAAGTTTTAGGAACACTAATGATAAAATTAAGTGCTATTGCTTTATAATTTTGATTTTTATTAAGTTTTTCATAGAGAGTATTTGATTGATTTATAAAAACATTTGGATTGTCGAAAAACTATGGTTACTATAAAACAACAATTCAGATATAAGGAACTGAAAAATGGAGAGAAAAATAGAAAAATTTATTGAATCATTAAAAAAAAAAAGATCTCGTAATAAATTCTAGTGAAAGTTTTGAAATAAAAAAGTGAAAGATCTTAAATAATTAGAAGATATTGAAATTATATGATGAAAAAATAACAAATAAAATTTTTATAATAATGGTCGAAAATGTAATATAATAATTCTTGATCATGAAGAACATACAAAAAAATTATTACTAATTTTTAATTTTAAATAATAAATTAAATAAAATTTTATATTAATAATAAAAAAATCCCGCTTAAAATCCTCGCTTTAGGCCCCAAAATAGCTCGAGCCGCCCTTGTTAAGCAAAAGGCAATTTTTGTTAAAAAAACCAAAAGGTATTTAAATAATACATTTATATATGTGCATATATGTACTAATATACAGATGATTAAGGAAATAAACAAATGCTATATTAATAATAATAAAAAAAAAAAATAGCATTTAGTTCAAAAAATTTCATATAATAATATTGAAAGAAAAGGAAAAACTACAAAAAATAAAAATCACACATTTTCGACTTACGGTACCTATTACACGGATTATTTGTGTTTAACAATAAATTGGTTGTGTCATTTTTGAATTCATATTGTATTGGTGTTTGTTTGTAAAATTGAAAGTTCTAATCACCAGATATTAGGAAGATAGTGCTCACCTGCTTGAGAAAGCACCCAATTGTCATCATGGGCGACTTGCCACACAAAGTAGCCAAGTAAATTCCTCTTCTTAGCATAAGCAACCTTAATTTTGACAACCTCAACATCATCAAAACCTATCCAAGTCGATCCAATGGTGCAGTAATTCACCACATAAGTTGCATTATACATTGAAACAGCTCCATATCTTTGAATGTACCCTTTGATATCCTTAGAGCTCATTGACCCATCTTCAGTAATGGCTGGTCCCTTTGCTGGTGCACCAATTTCACTGTTGTTTGGGCTCACAAGTGTCCATGCATACCCATAGAAAGGCAAACCCAAAACCAGCTTGTCAGTTAATAATCCACTGTTTATCCAAGCATTTATACCATAATCTGTGTTTTGCTCACTCCCTGGATCATATAAAGCATGGAGTAATCATATGCCATTACATGTACCCAATTCAAGTTCTTCCTTATAGATTCAACTGGAAAACTTGTAGCATCAAGATATGGTGAGTACTGAACAGCCATTGTTAAAATAAGTTGTGTATTATTATTGCTAGAGTTTCTGGATTCGGATTCTATAGCTGTTCGCCATTCGTCGAAAAGGTTGGCTATGTTGGCCATGTCTGAGCCAGTACTTGCAGAAACCCAACAAAAATCTAAGCCGTCAAACCCATATAATCTTGCTGTTTTTATTGAAGAATCAATAAAGGACTTCCTATGGGAAGATTGGCCAACCATTGATGAATATACCGAGTAGTTGGCTAGACCACCAGCAATGGAGAGAAGAGAAACAACTGATGGATTTTTAAGTTTGACAGTGCTTGTGAAGGCAGAGAAGTAGGGCTTATCTGATGAAGAGATTGAAAGCTGGTAGATGGTAGAATTGAGGTCTGAAAAAGCACAAAGAAGGTGGGTGTAGAGAGCCGAGTTAATATCTGTGATGGGTAAACCACTGCCTGAGAGCCAGTATCCAGATTTGATCCATGTTTGTGCACTTGAATATGGCTGTTGAAATGGAAGGAAAGCCAAGAGGAGGATAGCAAATATAGCAATAGTCAAGGCCATTGAAGGCAGTGGTTTATACATTCACAGGTTCAGCGATGAGCCTCGTGTATTGGATACGTCGAATACAACCCGATGGAAGCCCCCTCTACCTCCAAATCTGAAGTTTAATTGCGATGAGACATTTGATAGTAAAACAAAGAAGTCGGATGTTGGGATGGTGCTAAGAGACAGCAAGGGTACCTTGATCGAGGGAAGAGGAATGAAGATCCCCTTTGTATCCAGTTGCTATGCCGAAGCTCTAGCAGTGAGGGAAGCCTGCCTTTGGGCTCTGTCAATTGGAGCAGTCGTATTGAAAGCGTAATCAAGAGGTAAACCACTTAACCTCGAAGGAAGGAGTTCCTGATGAGTTTAGAAATATCCTGTTAGCAGACTGTTTTCGTTTTTATTTTCAATGAAAGGGTAGAAGAAGTTGTTTCTGTAGAGTTTAAGTTTATGATACCCACACAAAAAACATAGTGAGAGACATAACTATTGGTTTGATTAATTTGAACGCATTAATTATAGAAATAACAAAATAATATAGAATATTAAAATAAAAATATTGTATACATCTATATAATAAAACACATAAAAAATTAAATTTTAAATTTTGAATGATGTAATCAAAGAAACGAAGAAAAAAAATTATTATTTAATATAGTGAGATCGATTTTTTAAAATTTAAATTTTATATTTTATTGTACTTTGAGACACAAATTATTATTAGTGTCAAAATATTATGAATAAAAATTGAAGTTATGTAATGTGTACAGCTAGAGGGTGTGTTTGGTTCAGAATGACAAAAGAGGGCATTGAATCGGATAAGATTAATGTTATTGGTAATTAAAATTTAATTTAATTTATTAATTTAATTATGTTTTAAGTAATTTTAATAAAAAAATTCAATAGAGACAATCATAATAATATTATTGAACTAAGTTACTATCACATTACTATAGAATCATAGATCAATTTTTTAAATCTCAAATAATATTATTGATCGAATTATATGTGTCCAGTCCCCATGTCCAATAAAATCTTTCACTTGCTTATTTTTCTTGAATTGGTGGGGCCAGAATAAAATATACAAAAATACCCAATATTTCTCTAAACATAACAATGACCCAAATTAATATTTTTTTGAAACTGATGTGACATAGTCTACATTGGACAAGCTTGGTCAAATCACACGCTTTTTTCCCGGAACCTCACACGCACATGAAAATATCGTACAAACTATCCGATTCGCGGAAAAAATAAATAAAAAATTATAAGGGAATAACTTTTCAAAAATACACTCTCTCAGTTTTTTTGGTTGGTACGATAGATTAAAAATTGAAAGAATAAATTTTATATTGTTTGGTACGGAAAGGAAAGAAATGTGTATCAAACATAAATTTACCTTTCTACCCCTCTACCGGGTGGAATTTTTGTACATACTACTCAAATGAAAAATTTTGTAATTACTGTCAACTCATCTCAAGCATGCATGACCAACAAATTTTTTTATCCTTATCTGCCACGTGGCAGTACAGCCAACCTAGACAGAAACATATAACCTTGTTGTGAGTCATGAATCTTGCTTCTAGAAGGTTGGGCCCATTTGTAGTATATGAAATAAGGGGTAAAATGGTAAAAGCTCATGTCATGCCCAAAAATTGATTCATTCTCATTCCTCCCTAGTTTTCACTCTATCTTATTTTCCCTTCACACCAAACGGCAGAAACTTTTTCTTTTCATTCCATTTTCCTCTCTTCATTTTCGTCCACTCTATTTTCCTCTCTATCAACAGACTATAAGTTTGATAATTGAAGTTCAATTCAAGATTTTAAATTCTCTAGACGTGTTATTTGGGTCATGTAACATCATATTCGGGTCTATGTTATTTTGATTTTGTTTCTTGTTCCTGTCATATTTTTGTTGATAAAAACAACTAAAGCTAATAATACATTAATCCATACAATTGTTTTTTTTTAGTTTAATATATTTTGATCGATTTACACACAATTAAATTAATTTTATTTTTGATTCGGTTAAAGATAAATTATCTATGTCAAAATTAAAATATTTATAAAAATTAAATCTCTCTCGACTTAACTCTAATAAATTATCAAAATTCAAACCCGTCCCAATTTATCGTTGATTCATGTTGTCATTTGGGCTGGTTTTTCATACAATTGTTGAACTTGCTTGAAAGGTGCATACAACAAAACAACAACTATCGACGAACTCTTCAGAGTAAATTATGTACGAACCGAGCAATGACTATTTGTAATTCATCACCCCATTAAATCATACGTCAAAACTTTCCTGAGCATCGACAAAATCGAAGCCAATGTTGAAGATTGAAAACGAAACAAATAACTTTTTTTTTCTTTGGGAGAATATATTACTTTGCATCTAGAAAGATTTAAAAATTTGTTTTTTGTACTCTAACATTTTAATATGATCTTTTTATTAGTTTTTGTTACTTATTTCGTAAAAAATCACTGTATTGAGTTTGACAGAACGAGTAACAGAAATTAACAAAAATATTACATTATAATACTTTTAATACATTAAAGATATAATATAAAAAATTTAATCTTTTAAAGTACAAAGTAAAAATTATTCAATTTTTAGCACATAAAGTGTAATTTATCCTTTTTCTTTCCAAATTATGGCCTTCTTTTCTCTGAGTTTCTAGTCATTATCATGGTTTTGTCGTACTACCACACGACTCTCTCTTAACGTCTAGCAAGAAAAAGATGATAAAAAATAAAAGAGATAGAAAGTAAAATAACAGAAAAAAAAAAGTGAAATAACATATATTTTAATGTATGCATTTGGTAAGTCCGAAAAATTTTTAAGAAAATTTTAAAATTATTTCATTTCATTGTTTGAAAGAAAGGAAAGTTATACGAAATTTTTTTTAATTGTCTAAATTATTCTTAATTATTTTAACACGGTCTGAAGAAGAAAAAAATATTTTTTATTATTCAAATTAAAAAAAAAAATTGGCTCTCAATCTAATTTAGAGACAAGAATCGACTCGAACTCTAATCTCCAGACAAAGTTATATGGTTAGCCTAATTTGCACAAATTTTTTTAAAAATTAATAATTAATTGAATATTTTAAGAAAAATAAGAGTAAAATGAGAAGTTTAGTTATTGAACACAACTTTCTTGCTTCTCCTTGTATTTTTTGCAAGAAAAAAAGTTTGTTAGATGTAAGAAAATTTAAATATGGAAGAAAATTATTTTTTCTATTATTTTATATTTCATACTAAACAAACACGTGTAAAATTTTAATATTTTCCCTTTTTTGTATTTTCTAGTATCATCTTACTAAATAAACGGACCCTAGTGGTCGACCAAGTACCGAATCAAAATTTTGGATATCCTACTGTTAAATTTTTGGTAAAATTACATCTAGATTTTTTAAAATTTATCATTTAATCATTTAAATCCCTTAATATTTAAAATATTATATACAAACCCCTTTAAAGTTTGTTAAGCATAACACTTAGACCTTTTGAAATTTATAGATGTATAACACTTAGACCTTTCAAATTTAAAATATTATGCTTAGACTCTTTACTAGTTAAAGAACTAACAAAATATATTAAACGATCAAATTATTCTAATTAAAAATAGAAAATATTATGTCAATTATAGTTTGACAAATTATTTGATTTTTTAATTTTATACCAATAAACAGTATAATTGTATGTAAATAAACGTTGAATTGAGTCACTTGATATATTTATATTGATTACTATACGCAATTCATACTTTTGAGTCACTTACTGACTTAGGCATAGGAGAGACGGCCTCCGGTCTCCAACTTCTTTTTCAGGTGATTGAAGTTCAACAAACTGACATGGAATCGTTCAAATTTTGGCATCAACAGTACTATTTATGATTTTTTTAAGAAAAAATTTAATTTTTATTTTTGATGTTATTTCAATAAATAACATAATAAAACATGAATTTTGTGTGTAAAATTTAAAATATTTAATATTTTATCTTTAATTGGAGTATTTTTGGTTTAATTGTAATATTTTAAACTTGAGAGGTCTAAGTATTATACGCTTATAAACTTCAGAAAATTTGCATATGATTTACTAACAGATATACTAACAAACATTGACGATATGAGTCTAAGTATTACGCGTGTACAAATATTCAATGGTTTAAGTGAGTTAG